GAGGAAGCAAGCTAAAAAGCTAAAAGTCCAAAAGTATATTTGCATGTGAGCTTGTGTATTTGATGTGCACTAATGTGACAGCAGAAAGCTGGCACGGGGAAACCAGCACACAAAAGATGAGAGGCACCACACTGGGCGACCTGCTCTGCTCTTTTTCAGTCCCAGAGAAAAGTGCAAGATACTTTACCTTACTGCGAGAGGACAGAGGCACAGATGCCTGATCATGTAAAAGACCATTTCAGTATTAATAATAATAAAATAACAACAAATAATTTAGTAATAAGTAATAAAAGATATATATAATTTAAATATAATATTAAATTATAATTGATAATGAATTATATTTGTAATTAATACTTTATTAAACTGTAGCCAAAACCAACAATAACTAAATTTGTTTTGTGACTTTATAAAAAATTGAATTATTAAAATTTAAAATGTTCTAATTCAGTTTTCATAGTTAATAGGTTGTTTAGTGAACCTGTTAACTTTTTCTTTAAATCGGTTTTCAGTAACAATACTTGTCAAGATTAAAAATAAGTGCCAGCTGATCACATCATTCATTGCTGAGCAAGATAGATCTTTCAAAATTAATAATAATAATCGGCCTGGCTATTGTTAACAACCTTTTTTATTATACATGCACACCATTGAGAAAGAGGGCAGAAAAAGGCAATGGCCATAGAAAAGAGGTAAGAAAAGAAATTGAAAGGGGAGGTGAGGGGAGGGGAGGGGGGGTTGTGTATCTGAAAAGGTGGCTGTGGAAATTTGCGGGGGACAAAGTCACATCCATGCCGCACACGCATTCAATTCTGCCGATAAATACTGGGTCTGGACAAACCATCATATGCTAATCACCAAAGCATTTTCATGTCAAAATCAGCATCCCTGTCCCTCTTGCTCCCAAACTCATTCTTCCTGCTCTTTCTTTCCTCTTTCTTTCCTCCCCCCCGTTAATTACCGTATGTCTTTCGCTTTGATAGAGAGTCTCTTGCACGAATTAGTACAATATTACAGTCCCCTTTAAAGCCCAACCCCCCAGGCTCCCCCTTCTCCCCCCCCCCATCCCCCCCCATCTTGGCTGGATTGGGCAACCTTGTACACGTATTGGTACCGGGTTTTTCAGTAGAACACTTGTCAGTGGCATGCATATGGAAATGTGAGTCTCCATTTTAGCTGCTAACTCTGCATCCCCTCTAAGGCCCCTTGCTGTGTGCCCCCCACTATCACAACTAGGGGATGCTGGGACCTCATGCTGGGGGCAACAAGGCGTTGTACTATTGAGGGATGGACAGGGGTCAGTGCAGGGGTACACTAACAGACAGGACACACTTCTCTGGTCAAACACCAGCCCACCCTTATATTCTGGAGCTGGAAAGGTTCGGCCTGACATTGACCAGCTGTCATATTTATAAAGCGGTTGTGGTTAAAGTATGGAGTAGAATTGTGGGTTCATATCTGAAATAAGAACATTAATATTTATTACTTGAGAACAGACATATAAAATATATGTAATGATTTATCATTAAATGATCATTTTAATAATTATAAACCAGGCAACATTTTTACAAACAACTCGTTCATGGATCAAACACAATTATTTCATACAAATGTGGGTTGTGTTCATCATGTTGTGATCTTTTATGCAAGTGCCATAAATCCAAACAATTATCCTTCTTGCATCTTAAAGTGAATAAAATAAATAACTTAAAAACCTTTTAAATGGAGTAGGACAGGGGAATATGATGTCATGAGAAAAAAAAACCTTTCATTGTATGGACTAGTACGACCTCACTGTAGTAAAAAAGCCTCTCAAGGACATAAGCCAATCAGAATAAGAATAAAAGAGAACACAGAACCTAATCCGCAGCCTGCTATCAAACAGGCCTCTTCTGCACAAGTGTGAGCGGTTGAGAAATGCTCTCTCCGGGCGGACGTGTGTGAAAGCGAAAGGTGTTTGTGTGAGAAAGCGAAATGATAAGTGTGGGTGTGTGTGTTAAAGAGAGTGTGTGAGACTGGCATGCTCTTGACCTGTGGCTGTATGCTGCTAATCCTCTGATCAGGATGCCAGGAGGACTGCGGGGCCTCAGGCCTCAGTCCGGCCCCTGATAGACTGTCCCACTCACAATAATACACTGAGACCTCAGCCCATTTACATCCCACAGGCTGTCAGAACCGCTCACACGGTCCACACATTTGATCTCAGTACAGAAAGTCATTGGCTCAAAAGTCTACAGAAGAAAAGTAACTTGTTTCTGTAATATTCCACATAATTGTGTAGTGTAAGTAGTGTGTTTATACTAAACAATGCAACTACGCGTAGCATACTAGGAGTACAGATGATGTCCAACTGAAATGCCAAAAAAAAAAAAATAATAGTCAAGATGCAGACGTGACCACAACCCAAATTTTACACATGTGAGCTGATTGATTTAGATCACACCATGTGTGATTTATGCTTAAATATTCAAACTAGTGTTAAAACAAACAGCAACACAAACACAAGCATATGAAAAAAAAAATCCCTCAACTAAAATCAAGTAGATTAGTTCCATGTAGTACAAAAACATTATTTGAGATGATTACTACCCTACTACAGCTTAAGAATGGGAGGAAAGGTAGAATTAGTTATGATTTGGGGAAAACGTTCTTTCAACGTTTCGACCATCTTTTTACAACCATTTTTTGACAGTCAGCATAAAAAAACCCGTCGTCCAAGAGTGTAGAGAAAGCACCAAGCGTGTAGAGAAAGCACCAAGCGAGTGTGTGTTTATGAGTAGAAGGGGGTGGGGGTGAGGAATCTCAGACTGCCAGGCAAATACTTATCATTTGTCTGTGTAAGAGCATCTGCAGGCCCCCAAATCCCCACGTTTTGTACGAACAAATTGGCAGAGCACGGGGTCTTGTTTGCCCAGCCTCTTTGGCCGGCTGTGGGAAGTGGGTAGGGCTGATGAGAAGTGGGTGGGAGAAATCCCCATCAAAGAGTGCCGTGCCTGGGAACAGAAGAACTAGATGCCCTGGTCTGAGAACTGGCCTCCATCAGAAAGAGTGAAGTCTAAAGTAACCAGTGGGGAGACTCATCTGCCTGACCTGACCCAAATACAACTGAAAAGAGCAAAACCAGTCCAGAATTTGACATTATCAGATCACACAACAGCAGAGGCAGCAGTGGGAAAGGAAAGGAAAATTATATTATGATTAAAAATGTATATGAAAAATTAGATAATTTTTCATTAACACATTAATTTAATCAAAAGTGACTGTGAAACCCTTTATAAATGTTACAAAAGATTTCTATTTTAAATAAATGCAGTTCTTTTAAACTTTATATTCATCAAATAATCCTGAAAAAAAAAAGTATGCTTCCACAAAAATATTAAGCAGCACAACGGTTTCCAACACAGATAATAATAAGAAAAGTTTCTTGAGTTCTAAATCAGCATATTAGAATGATTTCTGAAGGATCATTTGACACTGAAGACTGGAGTAATGACTGCTGAAAATTCAGCTTTACCATTACAGGTAAAGAAAAATAAAAAATAAACGATTTATAACAATCATTTTTAATGCATTAATTATGCCTTGTAATGCACCTTATAATGCATGGTATGGTCTCATGAATAATTGTAACCAGTTACAATACATTATAATACTTATGTTAAACCTTTATAACGCATAATGCATTAAAACACGACAAACAACCAATTTCAGACGTAACAAGGAATCTGCAAACATTATAATGCATTATAAAATATGACATTATGAATACCTTTATAATGCATTATACATATAGGCTTTAAGTAAAATATCTTCTGAACAGATATTGATGTTAAAAGTGTTACAACTTAACCCAATGTCTACACACAGATTTTTAAGTCATGGCATATTTTATAAACAAATATAAGCATTTATAATAGGATTGTGTTTGTGTTCACAGCCTATAAACTCATACCTCAATAAGATGCGGGTGGGTGCTCAGGAAATGAGTGTGTGGACGGACCGCAGGTCTCTTTGAGGTGCGTGATGCCATAATCCTGTTAGTCTAAACACACCCGTTTCCTTTTATCTCACTGTCTTTCTGCCTCTCTTCAGTTTCCAGGTCACACTTCTCCCTTCAGCACCTGATTTCCTGACCATAGACAATCACTTTCACTTTAAAAATTAGCCATGAACATTTGAACATATGTATGTCAGACGGAGCAAATGTATTAAATGTTATTATAATATTTGGTTTCTTCTCTTTAGGGTAGGAGAGAATGGGTTAAGCTATGACACTTTTTACATCAGACTCTAGGCAAAGAGAAATACAATTATTACAGATTGTCTGCTATTAAATTACATTAAGCACCGAAAATCAATGAACAAGAAATGTTCAAAAACATTAAAAAAACCTTACCGATCCCAAACTTGTGAATGGTAGTGTACATTCACATTGGAAATGCAATTCTGCATCGTGTTTGTTAACTCAATTCAAATTCAGAATTGAAGTGTAATTTAAAAGGCATTCTCAACTTAATTCAAAATGGCACACAACCCGTCATACAGTTATAGGTGACTTTGTCAACTATTAAAGAAAATATTTTGAGTTTGAAATAACTTGATTTTCAGTTAGCACATTACTGCATTACATTAAGTGCTGACTAAATGACTAGACACTGTCATTTTTTATATATTTTAGAAAATTATTTACTTTATTTTCAATTTCAAAAATTTCAAACTTCATATTTGAACACATGGTGTCTAATATATTTAAAGAACACAGACATGTTAAGCTTTTATAGGTGCACTGTATTAAGTTGATACTCTGACATGATACTCTTTCCTTTACATGGCAGGTTACATTTACATTTACATCTACATCTACATTTAGTTCACATTTACTTTTTTCAAAAACAGAGAGTGCCCTCTGCTGGACATTCACCAAAATACCATTTAACACTGTCAGGCAGATACATGTTTGATTAGTAATGTCTGTCAAGTCTTTCACAGTCTTGTTTTGCAAATCACAGCAATAAATAGCCTACTCTTTTTCATTTATGCAGTCTGATACAGATCCTATATGAGTGATAATGATGAAGATACTGATATACTGGTTGAACTTTTACTTCCCGCTGAGCTTTAGGACGTCTCTCACCATAGCACCAATCCCATCAAAAATCAAGTGCAACTTTGTTTCACACATGAATGCAGGTGTGGTCACCACCTTATTCTTCTGGTCCACATGAGCTTCGTAAGGATGGAAGGTTAAGGTTAATTCAGAAAAACAAAGCTCTCATAACATTAATGAGAAGTAAATTAAATAAGACAAGTTGAAATCATGACAATAAAATGTTTACATTTTTATCTCATAATTATGACTTGGTATGTAATGATTATGACTTTTTATCTTACAGTATGTCATAATTTTGACTTCCATGGAGAAGAGAAGAGAAGATTAGAGAAGAGAAGAGAAGAGAAGAGAGAAGAGAAGATTAGAGAAGAGAAGAGAAGAGAAGAGAAGAGAAGAGAAGAGAAGAGAAGAGAAGAGAAGAGAAGAGAAGAGAAGAGAAGAGAAGTACTCTGTACAGGTAGGATATGGTGACTTCTTTAACAGTATGTTTGGCTCCCAGTGCAGTGATGGCTTGTGTAGTACTAGCATATGGCCACTTCCCACCTTCCTCCTCCTCATGACCCACCGTCACATCCACACCAGGAAGAACTCTTGCTGCCAGCACTGGAGATATACAGCACAACCTTAAGACCAGAAGACAAGGAGTCAGTGATTTATAAAAATAAATTAAAAAGCATGCATATAAAGTCAGATTTGACAAATATAATCTTTTTATTTCAAAGCACATCATAACTTTTAGGCCCTGTCCTAAATGTAACCCTAAGATCTTGCGGTCTTCCTCCGAGTCAACACTTAACGCGATATACGTTAATGCCACTTTGACTGTCAGGTAGAAGTCTGCGGAGCTTGGGTCAGTGCGAGCTCGGTAAAAGTGTGCAACAAGGGCGCATATCGGCTGCGAAGGGGCTGCTCGCAAGCACCCTTCTGAAACATAAAATGAAAAACGGGACACCCTACAGTCTTGTATAGACATGCTCGCAGTTGCCACTGTAAGTCCACATAAATGTGCCATTTAGTTACCTATTAAGTTCCGCATCGATTACAACGTTTTGCTACTGGCCTTTAAGGCCCTAAATGGTTCAGCTTCTATGTATTTAACCGATCTTCTATCGCCTTACAATCCATCACGCTCTTTAAGGTCACAAAACTTTGGACTTTTGGTTGTACCTAGAATATCCGAGTTCACTAAAGGAGGGAGAGCGTTTTAACATTTGGCTCCTAAACTCTTGAATAGCCTTCCTGATAATGTTTGGGAACCAGACTCACTCTCCAAGTTTAAATCTAGATTAAAGAGACATCTTTTTAGCCAAGCATTCACATAATACATCTCATAACCATGTACACCAGTCATATCAGATCAAATGCAGATGATTACACTTAATGTAATGAACAGCAGCTATGCTATTTATTTTCTATTTGCTTCTCTGTTTTATCTCAGGATGCCCATCCTGAGGTAACTAGAGAGTACATCAGCTCCAGTTTGGATCCAGCCTCTTACGAAGACTTCAGATGCCCTAATACCTGTGAAGAGATGACGTCATCTCCTGCGAGGACTTCAGATGATGCAAGCTCTGAATCAACATGCACCAATGCTAAATTTCTAATCATTATGTTTACAACTTGTAATAATGACTTAAATAAGCTAATTGTTTCTGCCTTAAATGAATACATTGTTAGCTAACTGTGTGATTTGTATATGTACTTGGACACAGTCATCTCTGATAACAGATCACTCTTAATTGTATTGTAGACGCATGCATTTTTCTGAAAGACTGCTTTGAAATGATATGTATTGTGAAAAGCGCTATACAAAATAACTGTGAACTGAAATTTGAGACAGGGCCTTACTTATCATAGCACTTGAATTTTTTGTAATTATAAACACACTGGTTTGTTGCGCAAATAGTTTTACCGTTTACAGCACTTTGTTATTCTTGTAGTTATTTATCTATAGGGGCTAAAGAATTCGAAGTCTCACATTCATATTCTCTTACTTCTGCATTGTAAAATAAGGTGAATATAGATAGTAATTTATAACGACTTACCCAATTGGCTTTCCTGCTTTATGGAAGTCCTTTAAAACCCGCTCCACTTCCTCATTCACTTTACAGTCCTTCCCATCAATAGCAAATGTTGACCTGATGATGTGCAGAAGACAATATACAGAGAGATGAGGACTACAACAGCAGCCAGCAGCCAGCAGCCAGCAGCCATATCACACTGTAGCCCAAGACTGGTTGCCCACTGAAGCTAAGCAGGATTGAGCCTGGTTAGTACCTGGATGGGAGACCTTCTGGGAAAACCAGGTTGACGCTGGAAGAGGTGTTAGTGAGGCCAGCAGGGGGCGCTCACCCTGTGGTCTGTGTGGGTCCTAACGCCCCAGTAAAGTGATGGGGACACTATACTGTCAAAGAGCACCGTCCTTCGGATAAGACATTAAACCGAGGTCCTGACTCTCTGTGGTCACAAAAAATCCCAGGATGTCTTTCGAAAGAGTAGGGGTGTAACCCAACTGGCCAAATTTGCCCAGTGGCCTCTGTCCATCATGGCCTCCTTATCATCCCCATACATATATATCAATTGGCTTCATCACTGTCTCCTCTCCACCAGTAAGCTGGTGTGTGGTGGGCGTTCTGGCGCACTATGGCTGCCGTCGCATCATCCAGGTGGATGCTGCACATTGGTGGTGGTTGAGGAGATCCCCCTTTCTTTGTAAAGCGCTTTAAATGCTGAGAAAAGCGCTATATATTATAAATGTAATGATTTATTATTAATTAATTACAACAGGAATGTTAGTGGCAAATTAAAATATATCTAAATGCAAAAATGTTTATCAAAAAGTTTTTAGCATTGGTTTTATCTTCAAAACTTTCTTTAAAAGGCAAGTCCAGTTTAACACATTTAGTCAACGCACTCACAGGTTTTTAGCTGCACCGAAACCACCAGGGAAGATGACCGCATCATGATTACTGGCACTCAGTTTTGCCAGGTCAATGATGTTGCCCCTTGCGATACGCGCTGATTCTGATAAGACGTTCCTATATAAAAAGAAAAGTTGAGCGAATTAATAATGTGTTAATAATTGAACTCCTACAGTAACAAAAACACAAAAGTGTACAGGTATGCTAAGGTATATAAGGAATTGTTTTGACAGTGTAATCTTTACACAGAATTTCTGAGAGGACACTTCACCTTGACTCTGTCTCCACTGGCTGACCTTTGCCGTGGTCTATCACATGCATCTGAGACACATCGGGAGCAAACATCTGAACCTCTGCACCTCCCCGACTTAGATGCACAAGGATTCTACATACACAAACATACAGCATAAACGAGTATTCACTCAAAAGAAAAGAGTTCAAGCAATAGCTCTGATGCATAAAGACACACATTTGGGTTTCACTGAGAGAGAAAAAATCTGAAATAGGACATTAATTCTGACATACATATTTTACAGTAGTAGCGAACTCCTAAAGCAGGGGTGTCCAATACTGCTCCTGGAAGGCCACTGTCCTGCTGAGTTAAGCTCCGACCCCAATTAAACACAACAGAACCAGCTTAATAAGGTCTTACTAGGCATATTAGAAACTTTCAGGCAGGTGTGTTATGTAAATTGATGCTAAACTCTGCATGCCAGACAGTGGCCCTCCACCACCTTGTTTGCCTGTCCTAGGCCCTAAAGTCAAACTTGGCATGAAATCCAATGCAACAAAGAGATCTTCTGTTCCTTATAGAACCAGATTTTTGTGAATCCGCTGAATAACTAAAGAAAGAAAAATATTATAGAGACTTAGATTTAAAAAAAAAAAAACTAGTAAGTTACTTACGCTGATGCCTCGTGGATTTCAGTGCCATCATAAACACCACATCCAGATAACACCTAATGAATAAAAGATTAAAAGTTAGAACACAGAACTCTTGTCGCGTGTGTTTTGTGACGAGCTGGAGAGCAGTAAACAAAAACATATTAAAAGCCGTCCGGATTACTTAAAACCGATAGATCAATGGGCATCTGTCTTAAAGGGATAGTTCACCCAAAAATGAAAATGTTGTCATTACTACCTCATGTTGTTCCAACCCTGTATGGGGTTCTTTCTTCTGTTGAACACAAAAGAATATATTTTGAAGAATGTTGGTAACCAGACAGTTGACGGCACCCATTGACTTCCATAGGAAAAAAAATACTCTGGAAGTCAATCGGTGCCATCAACTTCTTCTGCTACTTCTACTTTTTTAAGTAGTTTTTAAAATCTGTAATTTTACTTTTACTTAAGTATGTTTTGTTCGCTACATTTTAAATCATCTACATTACTAAAAAAATATCGCTAAGAAAATAAAATACTTTTTGTGAAAACATCGCGTTCCGGGAACTACAGCATTAATTGATTGAAAGCAGATTGAAAGACAGGAGAACAGACACGCTAAAATCACAAAAAAAAAAAAAAAATATGGAGAAGGTGACGGACAAGACAGACGCCAGATGCAGACCCAGCTGAAAGCGAAATGCTCTCGAATTCTTCACATGCACACATGTCATATGTGAAGCCCTGGCCAGTATGGGAATACTTTGGATATAGAAAAAATGGAATTTACAGTAGCCTAATATGCAGATGTCACGTAAAGCCATAGACTGTAAAAAAGCGTAACACACGCAAACTGGTAGATGTATGGATGAATAAATCGAAAGTAAAGCTGTACAATAAATCAAATCGCGACACGATCTGTGAATATTAAAGCACAAAAGACTGCTATGTAAATATAGTCTACTTGTTCTGCGTGTTTTTGTGTGAATGAGCTGTGCTGAATTTCGTCTACTTCAAGTCGCCTACGCGACGCGCTCATGGTGTTTTCAGCGTCTCACAAATACAGCACATGAATACATGAACATTTCCAGAGCTGCTCTGAGAGAACGCCTAATGAGAGATTTTCATAATTTTATTTGAGAAAAAACATTGTCAAATACACTCTGAAACAGGACTTAACAACCCGTCAAAATAAAAGTTCGGTTTTACTAGAAGAAATGATTACTATTTTAGGCCTACAATAGAATGTACTTCTCATAATAATATTAACAACAACAACAACAATAATAATACTACAATTTATTTAAACATTATTTAAGGAATAATATATTGTTTGTCCGCGGTTTAATTGAGTAAATCTGTTTTGCAGCACTTTGCCAAAAACTAGAAGGATAAAACGTTTGCTAAACTTTTATTTGATTACCACCGTTTTTGATCATATTTGTGTTAAATCATAAAAAGTAATAAAAAAACATTTCATAGAACTCAATTGTTTTAAAACATTTTATTAAGTTATTAATTATAATAATAAGTTGTTAATCTAATTCATAATCAATTATTGAAATTACTTGATTATGTTTTATTGAACACATTTATTTAATTGTCATTTTAACTGATGATAATAATAATCATAATTTAATAATACAGTTTATAAACCGTGATATTTTCTGAGACAGTTATCATACTGTGAAACTCTCATACCGTTACAATGGGTTTTCTCGCTTTTGCATGTATTACAAACACAACTGGCGCAATCTTCGTCTCATTTATCGATTAGTGAAGGTTAAACAAGAACTTCAGTATGAATATTACTGTAATATTGTTGCTGTGTTCATACTCCGCTGCCCGTCGGGGTTTATTCTGAGATAATCACTACCTGAGTGACTATTTTCTCGTAATTTCACTGATTTCTACAGTTTTATGCAAATGAGCAACTTAGACAGGGTGACATGAAGCGCCTCTACCAGAATTGAGAAAGAACTACTTTCAGAACACAGTAAAAACCCCCACTGAAATGCAGATGTTTATAAAATCTATTAATTTCACACAATACAGCTCTAAAATGGGACACTAAAACGTATAACGTTAGGCATTTTGACATCGAGCGCCAACAACAGTCACGTGCAATGCCAGTTTGGGTCTGCATAACTACTTACAACAGCGATTTTTGCGCTACTGCAGTTTAAAGATGCATGAAACTGAGCAGCAGCCGCATATCTGAAGTGCGCAGTACGGAACAGCGAGCTCAGAGCAAACATGGTGCGGGGCAAGGAGGACATGGAGGACAAATTTTGCCTTCTTCGGCGTTACTGACGGATGGAAAAACAGAAACATATCGCCACCTACAGTTTACTGTACCAACCCACAATCTAGACCTTAAAAATGTGCTGCATCAGAGTTTAATGAATAACAATAACATGACAACGTAATTATATAAATTAGCTTAACTTTATATATAAAAATGCTATATATATGTGTGTGTGCGTGTGTGTCTTAATCACCATAACAACCTTTCACCATTTTTTATTTTTAAGTTATAAAGTGAATTCTTAGATACATGAAAAAAATATTCCAAATACAAAAGTGCAAGCTTAATATTTTGTCAAGTGATAAGTTGTCTTTAAAGGTGTACTTAATTTCCATTTATCAAAGAACAGCATCATAACATCTTGACTAAAAGTTTGAAGTTATTATTTCTAGATGTATGTGGTTCTTATTATTACCTTATTAATATTAAATTAGGGACCACTAAACGAACAATTAGGAAACCGGATGCACACATAACATAACGTAGAAAATATATTTCTTATAAGTGTAAAACAAACTGTGGGACACTTTCCAAAACAAGTCCCTACATGGAATTTTAACAGGGAATTACCACAAACACCATTTTAACTATTTGGTGTTAACTATCTACATGAACTAAATAAACTCCAATGACACCCTTTTTTCAATTCTGAGCAAAACATCTGGGAATGGTGCAGCAAAAATATACTAATGAACAACAGACACTTAACAATTATACAGAATGCACAAACTTGGACAGGACTTTGCCTGCACTCTTTAGGCGCTCCAGTCGCTCTTTCAGTTCTTTCCTTTTACGTGCAACACCGGAATCTTCTTGGAGCAGCATTCCTGGATTGTTCCCTCCAATCATGGCAAGCATTGCATTCTGAAGCTGAGAGATGTACTGGTCCAGCATGTGATACTGGACTATCAGTGGAACTTGATTAGCCAGACGGTCAGAAGTAATCTACAAATACATACAAAGTACATTCAAATACATTCTAAACCATAATAAGCTAAATTAATATTTATTTCAAGACTCTGCCGCCAATAATTTAGCCTCTCCTTGCATATGTGACAGGAGAAGGTGATTTGTTTTTGATGTTAAAATCGTTCTGCTATCCCAAGATGGAAGACAGAGACAACTACAAGAAAACCAACCAGAGGGGGTACCAGGATGTCATGTTTGGGGGGGCATTTGGCTTGTTTGGGGGGGCAACATAAACAATTGAAAAAATCGGCGCAAAATTAAGCTATACTACACACAATCTGTTTTAGTGCAGATCTTTTTCTAAGCCAGGAACCCAGAGATAGGCACAGGGCCCCTATTAGACTATAGGGCTATCACATAAAAGTTAATCAAACCAGGTCAACATTAATAATATGATGATGATATTATTATTCTTGACAGATTCATATATATCAGATCACGGTGATTGCCTGTGTTTGCTAGTGAGAAGACGTGCTACACGAGTAGGCTACCGAGAAGGATGAGAGTTTTTTAAATGAATCTGAAGTCACGTTTGTAGACAAGAGGTAAATTAATTTGTTTCTTCTTCTAAACTGTCCCAGACGTAGGTGCTACTTTTAGGGCTTAAATGTTTCGTGAAGTACTTTTAGGAGTACTTTAGAAGTCTAAAAACACATTAGGAGTCTAAAGTTATGAGTCACACACCCATTATTTTTAGGAGTTTCGCCAGTTAGGAGCTACTTGTAGCCTCTTATAAGATTCTTTGTGAATGCGGCCCCAGGTAAACAATTTTGATATGCTCATTTGAACAGTATGAGAACAGTATTTGAATGTTATTCTCTGGTGGCTTTGGATAAAAGTGTCTGCTAAATGAATAAATGTAAAAATGTAGGCCTAGATAAAAGGAAACATATTAGGCTACATGCAGGGGGTCAGGAGACCTAGAGAGTTGAAATAAAAGCTATTTTTTGTGAAACTATAAGAATTGAAATTATGATATGATTAGCAGAGGCAACATAACTTTTTTTTGTAAATATATATATATATATATATATATATATATATATATATATATTTTTTTTTTTTAGTGGTGGATTTAATCAGGTCCCTGATACATCCAGTGTATCCTATCTACAGGACCAGTCTGCGGCTAGTCTTGGCAAATTCAGAAACAAATCGATTCATGTCCAGACCTTTTGTGATTTTCTTTTCGTGTGCCAAAATGACCAAATCTCTCTTCCTTGAATGCAGCATTGATCTTCGGAGAGGGGTGAGAATGCGGCTCAAGGTAGAAAAAGAACTTTCACATGCATCTGAGGACACACCTATGATGAGTGCTGTGACATACAGCTTATGCAAAATGGGGAAGGCCTCTTTGTACTGCTGAATGCACTTGCATACTTCAGAGAGGTTAGCATCAGTGGACAGTTTATTGAGCAACATTGCTTTTGCCACAGCAATTTCATTTTGCAAGGTCATACTATTTTGCTCTGTGCCTGCAAGCACTTGAAGTGGCTTCAGGAGAGAAGGGTCAAGGAAAGACGCTGATTTTGGTAGGAGAAATGATGTTGCCCCCTCATTAAATCAACATTTCTTTGAGAGAATCTCGTCTCCATCTCCACAATAGCCCTATCAAGGATGTTGAACATAGCCCTTTTAAAAGTCTGATTAGGAGCAGTTTGGTCATCAGAGTCACCACCATGCCCTAGTGTAGACAAGATAACACTACTGACAAGTTGTGAATTAACTATCCGTCTTCTTTTAGGTGGGTTGGTAGGCCTACTTCCACACTGAGAGAAATGCTCCTCCCAGAATGAGTCGCATCGCATCTCCTTCAGTGTGCCCAGGGAAGCTGTCACCACTTCCCCTGCAGTGCATAAATCCACTGTTTGGGACTGCAGAATTGAATTGGCTGGCTTCAGCGCACCAAGCACATGCAGAAGAAATTTGCCAGTGTCAAAGAAGTTCTGTCTGTTAAGCTGGGTCAAAAGACTACATGCCTCTGTGTTAATGTCAAATGGAGCACTGTCATCCTCTGCTATCTCATACAGAAGCCTCCTGATGACATCCTCATTGTGAACAATAGACTTGGTGACATCATAATGACTGGTCCAGCGAATTTCTAATAGTCTTTTCAGTGTGGGTGTACTGTATCTATTTGCAACATAATGTCTGTGACAAAATGTGTTTAGTGAACTGGACCAGTCAAAGAACTTCTTTGCCACAGGTTCTGCATGCATTGCATGTACCACTGCCAAATGGAGTTGGTGGTTGTAGCAGTGCACATATGGGATATCTTTACCCACTTTGTTTTGCAGCAAAGCCTGCACACCGCCCCTCACTCCTGACATGACAGAAGCACCATCATAACACTGAGACACTAAATTGTCACCATTGTAAACCCAGGTCAGACAGATTAGACAGAATTTGGTCACACACATACTCAGCATCAAGCTGATTCAATTCAATGAGGCCGATTAGGTGTTCCTCTGGGATTGAGTTGCGGACAAATCTAATGATGACTGACAAATTCTCAATGTTTCACCGATCCCTGGTACCATCACTTTTAATACAAAGGCCAGGAGAGTCGGCCTCCTCATATTTGGTCTGGATGTCTTTTAGTACCATTTTGGCAAGAGTTTGAATTATCTCGTTCTGAATCAAATTGGACGTGTATTTCGCGTTTTCGGGAATGCTTTTTGCAATCTCTGCGACTTTAGGGTCTTTTTGGAGGGTGTAATCAAATAGCCGAATTAAAAGACCTTCCTCATCCCCACCCCCGTGATGGTGCCCACGTAGAGCAAGTTCATTAACCGCCAGAAACTGAATAACTTCCCCAATACTTTTTACATAATATCTGTTTATTTCTATGTGAGTTTGACCAAGCTGGTGAACAATGGAATTATCGGTCTCTGTCCGGCACTGGTATTCCTGCCACGCAGACATGGCTCTGACATGCGCAGTGCCGGAGGCATGTTTCTGAAAACCACTGTTTTTTATCAGCGCTTTTTTCCAATTGGTGTAGCCTACTTTTGTGAATGCGTCATCTCTTTCTGAATTGGAGACACTAAATTTACGGCAGGGAAAGCAAAAGCTGGCATCACGTAAGAGAGAATATTCGAGCCATGGTCGAGACTGATACCAGCCCGCATTGAAACACCTGAGAGCCTGTCCAAATGGGCACTTAGGATAGCTACTTAGCTTGGGCTGGGATGGGCTATACAAATCTAAGTCAGGGGGAACAGACACGCTAGAGCTGGAGGAGGATTGTCTGTTTTGGGGAGGGCAGAATGTTGCTGGCTCCGACACAGATGCAGAGCTGGAGGATGGTGCATGTGGATTTTGGGGAGGACATGCGTTTGGAGGATTTACCGTTGTGGATGCAACAAGGCTCTGCTCGGTGTCGGAAGCAGAGGTACTGGGCTTGTCAGAGGCAGCATGTTCACTGTTGCTAGCAGGTGAGCTGAGCTCAACAGAGACAGCTTGTATGGAGGGCGAAGGACAAGGTGCCTGTTTTTTAATGAGCCACTTATGCATTTTTTATGTTTAATAAAAACTGGTCTAATTATTAAATCCAAAAGCCTAGTTCATTTACTTCAGTCAGTCAGTGCCAACTTCAGTGACTAGAGACTAGCAACTTAAGTGAGTGACTAGCAGCTAGCTAAGCAGCCTGAGCTACCCAACAAATTAATAGCCTGCTAAAATGACAAAAAAGTGCACACTAGCATTACATGAGAAAAGAACAAAGTTGTGATCAGTGAGACTTTTAACACGAGCTGCCAACAGATTCAAAATCTATATCGTCTGTGTGCAGAGTGACTGTCTGTGACTGCTGCGCTCTCTGGTTGTTAAAGTGATCCGGCAGCAGACTGACACACCCCCAATAACGGCCAATAGAAAAGCAATAGGTTAAAAAAAATTTTAATGAACGTTCTGGTTAGGACTGTTCGTTTTTTATTTAAGGGGCTACTGGAGGAGTTTTGAGATCTATAGTCAAAATAATAGACTTAGATAAATGTATTTAATTGCATACTTATATTTTTCACAGTCATCTTTTTACTTTAAGACCGGGGTAAAGCAAGGAAGACTACAATTTACCTCAACAAGGCGACATAATGAACGATACTAGTCTCATTCGTGGAGGTGGAAAAACAAGTTCTTTGTGAAATGCAGGATTTATTGTATTAAAATTAAATGCAAAAGAAAAGGTATGAGCCTGCTGTTTTTGTCAATTTTAGGTTTTAATTTAAAATGTTTGTGAATCAGATTTTAATATAAATACATGGTTAAATATTTTACCACTTGCTTGAGCAACTAAATATATTCTATATATAGCATATCTGCACACGGCTTTCTCTCATTCATCATTTGGCCATTTCAGTAGATTTACTCACTAACATTGTTGTGGAAACACATTAAGCGCATGGAAACTAAAATATGATATAGTATAATATGATAGTCTCGTGCTACAGCGCACATTCTATCAGCTGCAGTCCCAATACTCGACGTACATTCACATCACATGTTAATGCAGCGGTAGAGTTAAACTCACAGGACACTGCACTTATTCGCAATCACAAAAGTTCATTATTTGCTCGTGCTTTAAAGCTTTGACAGGTAAACATTTCATTGGCGTTCTGTTCTCACATTATTATGCACTTTTTCTGAGTGCGTAATATACGTCCGAAGCACGCGCACACTGTCAAACAGCGCCAAACTGGATTTTTGTTGGGTCAGACCCTTCCGCTAGCGATGGGAAAATATGCACAAAACAATCCACTTTTATCTTAATTTATCATCAGATGGACAGATAATTTCTCAGGGGAGGCAGGGCTTATCCTAGGGGAGGCACTGCCTCCCCCAGCCTCCCCCTAGACACGCCCCTGAAACCAACCATACGTTTTTGGAAAACAATCATTATTCTTGCAATTGCTAAGTTCAATAGTGGCAAAAAGAATACGCACAGAGTTTAAAGAACAAAGACTTCTAAATCTTCAGGTATGTGAACCGATGCATAAATGTTTCAAATGATTACCGTAAAATAGGCAGTGAGATGATGTGTCATCTCGCGTACATCTGCACTGATGAACTGCCTTTGCGCAAGAACTGTTAGACTTTGTTTTACAGTGTCAAGCTGATTGCTGTACAGATGGTCTTGGGAGTAGACAATCCTCTCCATCTTAAATTGAGACTGTATTTTCTCCTCAGCTTTCTGAAACTGCTCATCGAGAAAATCTTCAATTGGATCTTTGGTGGCCCTTAATAGGTGAGAGAAGGCCTTGAATTGAGAGCTAACAAGGTGGTTCACACAGGAATGAACAATGTCTGTATTAAAGGACACAAGAAAACAAAACAGCCAATCAAAGGAGTTACAGTAAGACACTACAGAGTATATATGCATACTTGATATCCGTCACCGATTTTATGCATTTGATTTTTTTTTCAAGCATGCAACACTGCAAACCATCTCTTGAAATACTGCCATTCACCTGCGACATCTTTGAGCAGCTTTAAAGCAGGTTCCTCCAGCTCCTCAATGTGTTTCTTGACAATGTTTTCGAAAGTTCTGTAGTTCACAAATCCAGGAAGCTCCTTTCCTCTAAGACTCCTAACATACTCTTCTACCTCATCTCTGAGGGTTTCCTCCGCTAGAGAGAAAAGATGAAAGAAAATCATTAAGTACACACCCCTGCAGCACAAAGGGTTAAACTCAAACACCATGTATTGCATGCCCAGAGATGTTTTGATGCTGCACAGAAGTGGCTTAAATTAATTTATGAAGGAACTCAAGAAACAATCTCACAAGCTTGATGGTTGATTGACATTAATTGTCGAGAGACAACAAGACACACTGATTGTCCTTTAAATTCTACAGTGGCTTGGTAGTGTAAAGACACAAGGAGCCGTAACTGGGTGAACTGCTTTCCTGTAATGATGATTGTAGAACAGAGTTCCATTCAAGAATCCAATCTTCCCTCTCATTTATGTCATGGTCAAATGTTTACTGATTTATTAAAAATTTAAATGACTACCACTAACCCTTATAACCTTATAAACTACCTGTAGTGTGCCAGATTTAAACTTTCTGTAAATTAAAGATATAAATAATACATTATTGTATCAGAGAAAATGCAAAATAAAGATAATAATATTAAAGCAATATAAACTGCACAAAGTAGCATTACTGTCACTGATCATTTAAAATGTATGCTACAATGCTACAATGTAAACAAAATATTATTTATAAACACACTCTTTATGGTTTTGTCATCCAGAACGCGTTTCCATCTTCCAAATTCCTTCCTGATTTTGGTGAAGACCCTCATGTCTGAGCTTAGATCTTCTTCTGCCCTTTTTACTCCTTCAAGGGCATCATTGAACTGGCGAATTTTCTGCAGAGTGCAAATCTCATGAGGTTATGAGATTTAAAAAAGGCCACATAAAAACATATGGGGTGAAACATGTACAATTATTCTGTTAAGATTTTTACCGTAATCAGAAAATTGCTCTTCTCGTGTTCATCAGTTGGAACTCCATCTCCCAGTGCTCTAAGATCCGCAGTCGTCTTCTCTAATTTCATCTCAAGTCGTTTCTGCAACTGTGGCAGCGTTTTCTAAAGGTAAAGAAATGACATGGAAATAGAGACATTAGAAAGCTAAAGGCAATCTAGAATTTTGTATCGTATTCTGATTTTAGTCTTCGATGCTTTAAGTCATTTACTCTTTTCAGTCAATGTCTCTGCTGTAACTTTTTGTTAAGGCTGAGTGATTAATCAAATTTTAGTTTTGATTTATTAGCTGAATATTATACTGTTATATAGACTTACAATTAAAACTTAAAGCATTATTTCATTTTTGATATATTATATTTGTTCTATCTGTAATTTCAATCTGTTTTAATTGTATTACTGACTGTCTCATTGTCTTCAATAATTATTTGAGGACTTTTTAAACTTGCATTAGTTTAGTATTAGTCTAGTATTAGTTTCCGCTTTGGTATCGAAATTGGTATAGAGAATTGTGACATTTCAGTGGCATCTAAACTTTTGATATCATAGCAACATAATTTCCTTGTGAAAAAAAAGAGAAGAGATTTACATAGGATTTTGTCCATAATATCACCCTATCCTAATTATGATAAATAATCGTGATTTCAATATTGATCAAAATAACCGTGATTATGATTTTTGCCATAATCGAGCAGCCTTTCTCTTTATACGCACAGTAATGTGTTCAACCAATTCTTTTGTGAGTCTTTCTGCAAGAAGGGGTACTGTAGCTTTTCCTTCCTCAAGAAGAGACCTGAAAGGAAAGAATGAATTTAAAATAATGACAAGGAAATTGAGGACTGCAGCATAGCTACAGCATTTTGCATACTTTTTATAAGTGGGTTATGTGAAACATGTATAAATATATAAACAGTGTCGTTGTTGTGAAACAACAGCAACAACACATACAGAAAAATATTACTAAAATATAACATGAGATGAATGTCATGAACATTATATATATTAGATTATATTTCACAAACATCTTGCCTGCATATAAATCACACCATTGTTTTTCCTCCACAGACATGAAATGGGTCATGCTTCAATTGTGAGAGAAAAGCCTTGCCTGAAATGAGCATGTTCATCAAAAAAAAGTCTTTCTTTTTCCAGCGCTTTGACCAGATCAAGCTTCTCATTGATGTCTTGCTGGCCTCGGCACTTTACGATCATGTAGCCCTTCTTCAGTTGTATCACTTGATTATTGACTGTTCTGACCACCGTCTCCTCCATGCCTTTGTCCACTAAGTCCGGTTTAGTCAGAATACCTGCAGATATGAATATTTGTCTATACACTCTTATCAGTGTTTTATTTTACTATCAAGAAAACAGGAACAATGTATTTGACAATACTTCACTTATTCAGTGAAATGTTACGTACCCAGGGTCCTTTGTCCGGTTGAATCTACTTTGAATGCCATCTGCAGTGCCTCAGTGGTGGCGATGTCAATGTTTGCAGGCACCACAACCAAGCTGATGGTTTCTTGTCTTTTAATGAACTTTTCAATGACATCTTTTATCTGTTACAGAAAAACAACATTAGTAATGTTGAAGGGATATACTTTATTCCTGAATAAAACAATATAGGTTTTTGGTTTGTATTTTTACACACGTTCATTATAAATGGTACAGTCTAACCTGTAATTTTATTTGAAATTCCTATAACCACCTGCTCCAGCATTTATGTTTAAAGGAGCTGTTAACCAAAATATTGGAATGCTGTAAACATTTCTAAACATTTACATATACCGTACAAATAGTGTCTTACTTGTTTCTCGATGTCTTTTGGCTGGTTTCCAGTGGCAACTCTAGCAATGCCTGGCAGATCAATGAGAGTGAGGTCAGGGACATCACTGGACTGGATCTCCAGAGTGATCATCTCATGACTGATCCCTTCTCCCTCTCCAGCCAATACTGTCTGAGCTATAAAACAATACCATGTCACAAACATCCCACAGATGACAAAACAATGAATTCAAGCATTTTAAAGACTCACAGGGAATTAAAGTTCTCAATAAACTGTATCTGTATACTCTTAAATGTGTAGGCTAAGTATACAGACCATTTAAGACAGCATTCTCTATTTCAGCAGGATCCTTCAGTTGCTTTATTTGATCCTTATATGACAGCAATCCATGCCAGTTGTTGTCCTTTTTAATTTTCTTCAGTTTCAGTACCAGAGGACAGCGTGTCACAATACCTGTTTTAAATACTAGATAGTCAGCTTCTTATTTGTATAGACTTCCTTACAATTGTAATGTTCTAATTACAAATAAGAGAAAAGTAATTCAAACACTTAAGTAATACAGTATAATACAGTAAATAAATTCAGACCTATGATTCAGACATGATAGATAGATAGATAGATAGATAGATAGATAGATAGATAGATAGATAGATAGATAGATAGATAGATAGATAGATAGATAGATAGATAGATAGATAGATAGATAGATAGATAGATAGATAGATAGATAGATAGATAGATAGATAGATAGATAGATACTCATATTACCTGTTCCCCTAGGCAGCGGCACTCCAGACAGGGCTTCCAACACAGAACTTTTTCCTGAGCTCTGGTCACCTATGACAGCAATAGCTGGCAGGTTCAGGTCCTTTTCAACACCTAATGACCTGAGAGAGTCCACTAGGTCAATGCATGGGCGGACCTTCTCTTCATAGTGCTGGTTAAGACCATTAATCGTATTTCCTCCCTTTGAAGAAACGCGTGGAGACATGTCTAAACTCTGTCTGCAAAGAGAAAAACAGATAGTAGTTCAGCCAGAGTATTACGTGGTCAGCGTTTTCTTCAAAAGTTGTTAAAGGTTGAATACATATGGATAAAGCACGTGTTATGGCGTTGTTGGGCGAATAACTCTGAATTTGAACCTCGAGTCGAATGCAGTGTTTTTTACACAATCCGTTTTAGAACTGTTATTAAACACAATTCAACGTGAAAGTCGACAAAAAAATAAACATTCAACTGTTTCCTTAAAACTTTCCATGACTTTATAGCTTTTCCATATCACTGAACGAAGAGAAAACTAATACGCACTGGATTCATCGACGGCTGCAGTACTAGACGTCACGCGCTGGCACGGAGAGTTTTATTACATGTAACGTTACAACTAGACGGTGGGCCGAGGGGGGATTTCGTGTTTTCAGACGATCTCTGGGGATGGATAACCCAGTTTTTTATATATAACCACTACACTTTTCAACAAAGCAAATAAAAATTGTTGCCACTCACATACTTTGCACATTACTATAATATCGGTAACTTTGTCCAGGTTATTTTCCCGGCGAATAGAGCAGGCGGCTACGTGTTGGGTCCGACATGCGTGACGTATTTGTTGCCTTCATCCAATTCACCTTATTTTCCACGACAACAAGGGTGACGCCATTACGTTCGTTTTGTCATCTTACTTCCGGCTGAGAGGGACTTCAACTTCCGGCTGAAAGGACCTACGCTAGTTTCTAGACGTAATTCTATATTTGTAACGGTAAAATATGTAATGTATTATATGCTCAGTTAGGGGCTGCCATAACAATTGAATTAAGAGGATAGAAAAAAACGGTGTTACGAACACAATGTAAAGCGATCGGAATGTTGTGGTGTACTACGATTTACACCCACCACCACCTAAAGACGAGGAGCACCTGAGGCCATGGCGGAAGGCGATAAGCTTGAAGTGCCCACCCAAGCGCTCTTAAGTGTGTTCGTTTGTACCATTTTATGGACGGGAAGCCGACTGACGAACACCCTTTTAGCCCGAGTAAAGGCTCGGCTACGATGTTCTGGTAAAGATCATCGCCGGGTGCTGAACAGGTTGTCAGATTCAGGTAAGCTAACTTGCATAACTGTTGTTACCTAACTTACCTATCTATGTGCTTGTTAGCCTAACGTTAGATTCGTGAAGTCCGTTCTATGAATACATTTAAGATTAGTAACGAGCCGTTAACAAAATACAACGAATCTTGCATGATTACCATTGGCCACCTATAACAGTCATATTTCTTATATTTCGTTTACTTTGTGATATGGACCTAAGGGTCTGAAGTAAAGAATGAATGAATGAATATTCACGATAGTACAATATATTATGGTACATTACAGCCTTACAATAGCTCACATTCTTCCTGTAAGGAGGCCAGCTAGCTCTCATCTCTCTTTCAGATATTGATCTACGTAGAGATTGTGTGTATACTGTCTCGTTTTTAATGCATCTCTCTTTTTCACACTGTTCTAAGTATGAATGCCATCATAAATTAATTCTCATGATCTATGTTAAGTAACTGTTACTAATGTAAAAATGTTTATGGTTATATTATTTCCTTAGATCATCAATGAGCGTCAGTGTTGCAGTGGACAACTGTGAGGAGGATAGGAGGATCACAGCCACATGCCCCAGACCTGTGATGCAGAAACACAATGGGAGGATCCATCTGTCTCTGACCACAACTATGCTACAATATCTCAACTCAACCTGAAGCCACCTACATTTGAAATGGGAACACAATGCGTTGAGCCAGTGCTATAGTACATAACTCTGCTGAGAAACGACCACCTTTGTCAGCGGGTCGACATTGGATGCATTCCATTCAGTAGCCGAGCACCTCACCAGTTCATACACCAACAGCTTTCAGCTACACACTTGAGATCAGCTCCTAATGAAGCTGCGTCTTAATTTATTGCAGGGTGATCTTGCTGTAAGGTTTGGTGTTTCTCAGTCCATTGTAAGCAAGGTGATTTCGCGTTGGCTTGACATCATGGAGGAGAAGTGTTTCCAAACACAACATGTAGGGCTGCACAATATATCTAAATATAACAAATGAATATATTGCAATATGCATAACTTTTTTAGCTTTAATAAGAATCAGTGTATATATATATATATATATTTAATTCATACAGTGAAAACTAAGCAGTGTTTTATTTTTACATTTGATTATTCAGTTTCTGTTGTTAAATAGACCTAATGTAGGATAACCTGAACCCCTTAACCCCGTGGTTTACACTGATGTTAAAATAACACTTCTTATGCTACAGTAAAACACTGCTGTTCACTTTCACAAGTTGAAGGGATGTTTTCTTGTCACAAAAAAATTTGAAACACGTATGTAGGTTATATAAGTTTAAATCTAAATTAAGTTAATTTTATCAATTTTAAGCACAATCGTATCGAATATCGCATTGTTTAATGAGTAATCAAATTTTTTCTTCAATATCGTGCACTTAATAACTTCGTCCAGGCGATGAAGTAATGGCAGACAGAGGCTTCACCATTACCGATCTCCTCTATGAAAGGAAGGTGAAACTTGTCCTTCCTGTAAACTTTTACAATGTGCCCATATTTTACCTGTTATGAAGTTATTTTTATAAACCTTTACAATGTGACCAGATTTTACCTGTTATGAAGTTATTTTTATAAACCTTTACAATGTGACTAGATTTTACCTGTTATGAAGTTATTTTTATAAACTTTTACAATGTGACCAGATTTGACCTGTTATGAAGTTATTTTTATAAACCTTTACAATGTGACCAGATTTTACCTGTTATGAAGTTATTTTTATAAACCTTTACAATGTGACCAGATTTCACCTGTCAGTCATTTATTATTAAACCATATGTGAGCTCTGTAGATTCCCTTTAAAACTTAAATGAATTAAGTCTTCTAGTTAGAAGGAATAAGTCACGTCAAGTTTGCAAATGAATACCATCTTGGTTTATTACTTAAGACATTTAAATGGTGAAATGTATCTACATGAAGGTCAGTAGAAGGTGTCTCTAGCTTCCTGAAAACATCAAACACTTCTTACAACTGATTTTATACAACTTATTTAATCATTTATATTTAACCAATTACCTCATCTCCTATCCTTAACTAAATATTCTCATTCCTTCTTATTTACACATAATTTGTTATTGCTGCTCCATCAACTCCTAACAGGACGAAGTAGTTAAATATGTCCACATAGGTTAACTGTTACCTCTGGCCACGTTAACAATGACGATGGATGAGACAATGTGAGACCAACTGATCGTCCTATGAAGTTTTCTCCGTGCTCCCAGTTTAAAACATTTATGGTATTAACGTTATTTGACATTTTGCTAAAGTTTTGGCTAGCTAAAAAACAATCTTCTAACAACTGAAATAGCTACCGGATGTGCCGTGCCAGTTTAGCGGAAGTCGGATGACAAAATGCGGAAGCGCGAAGTATTAAAAGTGGGCGGGGCGGAATAAGGTGAATAGCGTGCGTGGGAAAGTGTCGGTGTTGGTGACGCGTTTGTCAACACACGGGCGCGCTGATATGAAGTTGCTGTCTGACCTACAGTCTATGCTCTGTGCACATCTTTTCGAGAAGTGATTTTAGCCCAGGAAAGATTGAACTTGTTAACTAATTTTGCCCACTTATGCTACGTATTCAGTTTGACACAAAATGTGAATGTAGAGGTAACGTTATGCATTGTCACTGTTTTTATTTTATGTAACCATCTTTTGTCATACGATGTCCTGTCATTTCGTTGTAATCTTTAATAAATATACCGTTCTGATTTCACACATTTAATCCATGGTATTGCTTGGAAACACAACATCATGAAAACCATAGACATCTACAGCAGGATACAACGTTAAAATAGCCTAAATATAAAGTTATGAAACTTTACTTTGCCCTCAGCCAAAACGATTTGCCAAGGAACAAATTATAGATTAATGAGACCAAAGATTACCTGTTAGATATACACAAGTCGAATTATATATCATGTTTAACCACTAGACATCAGAGCCAGCGGCAAACGTCAGAAGCACTATAGCCGAGGTAAGGCTGTTCCAGGTGGGGTACATGAGCGCCCGGATCTCTCACTCCAAAAACGTCAGATAAAATTTTTAAATAGGCTCTATCTTTACGAATAAACCATAGATTTGAGCTTTAGACAACTACATTGTCGACTGAAAAACTATTAAAACTACATTTCGTGACACAATAACAGTAGTATTTTGAAATTTCTAATTATATAATGGCCAAATACAACCAGAAACAAATTTTCAGTCTTGCTTGTGAAAAGTAATTGCTCGAGACCTGTTTTCAATTGTGTGGCGATTTGTACAGCCCCAAGCAGCACACGAAACACATTTTTCTCAATTCCCGGTATGAAATCTATGGGAAAGTTGCCCTCCGCAATATGGCCGCACCGTTGACGTACGCTCCAGCGGGCAATTGGGCGTCTATGTATTGATTATGTCTATGATAAAAACGCACATTTCTCTTTTTCCCGCACATTTTTACTATGGATGAAATCGCAAAAACATGAAGTGCTGCATGCATATATGTGAGGGAAATAGACCCACCATTCCCTTCACAGACATAAGTTGGGAGAAATTTATTAAATCTGTGTTTCTGTGGAAAGACCTTGAATGCAGAGAAAGTATTATAGCAGAAGAGGCAGTACAGGCATACAAATTACAAAGCCAGGAACCTACAAACCAGTTAGTCAAACCAGCTAACATTGGCTACCACAGGGAGTGCTACAGCCATTTCACAAATATCACGAAGATAGAACAAGCACAAAGGAGAAGAGAGAAGGCAGTATTAGTTGAAGAAACTGCAAATGAAGGTTGGTATTATATTGTACAGACAGGAGGTGCAGTAAAAGACATACAGTGCAGTATTATATTGTATAGACAGGTGGCGCAGTATATTACAGTGCAGTATTATATTGTATAGATAGGTGGCGCAGTATA